GTGTGTCCCTGCGATGCTCATGGGAATCTCTTTGGAACGGAAGGCTATTTATTCCACTTCCCACATGATGCAAGCTCAGAGTCACCCATGATTCACACTAGGAAAGAGGCTTATTTTCAATTGAGATCAGAATATATAAGGCTCGAGTTAGGAAACTTTTACTGCTGATTGTGAGGATGACCTAAATAAACATAAAAACAAATGGCTTATGATAAATGTTCATGTACACAACAATTTTCAATAAAGTCATGGTAAAATTTTATATTTCTACTGTGAATTTTTTATAACTATGGTATAAGTCTATTTATCTAATTATCTTGGACTATTTTTGCATGTTTTTTGGAGATAACAATAAAATGAAATATGTAGAACTGTGAAGATTCATTGCTACTTAGAGAATTTGAACTTAAAAAACCTCACAAAACTCACTGCCCTTGAATCCACTCTGACTCATAGTAACCCTACAGAACAGGGTAGAACTGCCCCGTGGGTTTCCAAGGCTGTAATCTTTCAGGGTAGAAAGCCCATCTGTTTCTTGATTTAAGAGAATAAAACAAGTAAAAGTCTACCTCTTCTCAATTTACTGCCTTTCTAGTTTAATTGATTATTTTTAAAGAAATGTATAGTCCACCAGAAAACTGGCTTACGGAAACCAACAGTTTCAGTGTGAAAGAAAAGCAATTGACAAGAGCACAATATAATTTCCTAGTGGCCCTTGAAGAATAACTGTGGGTTGAGACATAAACATGAACTAGTTAACTTTAATGGGTACTAGCTGGTTTGCCATCATGCAGAATCTGGTGAGAAAAACAAAACAAAATAATATATTTTCACGTATTAAGAGGCTGGTGGGAGACTTTGATAGTTCTTTGGGGTGCATTAGCAAAACCTTTCAGACTCTCATAAAAATGTGTATGTATATATATATATCCTAATAATAATAAACTTAGTAGATGTATGCAAAAACTATTCTGATAACATTCTGATTTTACAGAGGAGATAAAAGCAACATTACTACATTAAGTGACTTCCCCCAAACGGCTGAGCTAGTGAGCAGTAGGAGGGAGATCAAAATAGAGATTTAAGCATCAGACACAAGACAGCTTGACCACACCGGGCCCCGTTCATGCAAAGAATGTGCTCAAAGACTCTTTCACAATTTTGCGGAAAATTGTGCAAAAAGATTGTCACATTTTGGAGGGAAGTTACGAGAACCGATATCTTCAAATTGTTAGCAAGAATCATGGATCCCTTGGAAGGGGCCCGAGGAAAGGGTATAACACTGAAAAAAATCAAGTTTTAAGATAAAAGCATCCCTGTGTTTCACTGGAACTTTGCGTTCCCTGTCTCTGTCTCTCTCCCCACAGAGATATCACCTTCTGGAGATTGGTTTTGTTTTGCTTTGGGTGGGTGGGGAGGAGAAACAATTTACCAAGCTGGTTCCGTGAACTGAGATTAGTCCCGAAGTAACTGTTTAGAGCCAATCCACTGGTGCAGAGCAACATTAATTCAATATACAGATTGGCTATATTGCCTAAGCAACATTTCTCTGAATAGTAACACGCTTATTAACACTGCAGTTTATGGAAATGAAACGAACAGAAAAATAAGTTGAGCCGAAGACAGAGTTTGTAAAAATGGCTGGCAAATGCTTTACTACTTAAAATGGTAGAGGTAGCAAAGAACTTCCAGAAATGTAGCTCTATCGTAACTAGATAATGTTAGTAAAATTAAAGAACAGAAAAATAACCCAAACAGTCCCAAATTGCAGAGGAAGATTTAAAATAAGTGATCTGGTTTCCAAGCAGAGAAATGTTTGTATGCATGGATATGAATTAAGAATAAACAGTCATTGAACCCATTACAGTGTATTTAACATTTACATGCCCAGGTCTGTGTCAGATGCTTTTGCGGCTAGAGAATAGGCCGGAAACAGGTAAACAGAAATGTACAATCTGGTAAAAGTCAAGACTAAAATCAGGCGTATGATTTGAGAACAATTAAACTATTGGGCCTTGACAGATCAGTGGTTGGAAAGATTCACAGGAATAATTCTTCTGGCGGATAGCAGTCGACGGTGGATACGATTTAGTTGGGTGAAAAAGGGAATGAGGAATGGACTCAACTTAGGCAAAAAGGGCGGAAT